GGAACGATGACCCAGAAGCTGTGGAATCATGGTCGTCACGTGGGACTATTGACGATGCACTTCCGTATCACAGCAATGCCACGATATAGGCAGCTAGCGGCTGGAGTAATATTCCAATTAGCATCTTGGAATTCGTAATGGAGCTCTTCCAGCTGAGCTCGGGAGTTTCCGCACTTATTCTAGCGAGTTTATATACGACTTGGGGTAGAGGTGTACAGAAACCAACAATAAATTCTCAAGTCTCCTCAGAATATTCATTTTGTCACCAACACATGTTGTTGACCATGTGCATATTTTACCGCGCGCCCGGAAATTATTGGTCCCTTGACTATCAGGTTCATATCGGTAATGGTTTCATAGCGAGAACCTCGGCTATAGTCCGTGACACACGGCCTGGAGCAGTTATTGGTGGAAATCAGAGCCCTTGTGATGATGTGAGCGTTTATGTGCGGGTGAAATATTTACAATTTCGGACTTTTTCAATCAGGCGGCATTGAAAAGAATGCCTGATAAGCTTCGTAGGGTGTTCTATCTGAGTGAGCGATTATTGAGCCCTAATGAAACGAAACCATTTGGTGAGAGTCAGAAGACGGAGAAGCTAGTTTTGGAGCTCGCTGACGCTCTCAGCGTTTCTGGTAGTACACGATGTGGCGGAAATGTGGTATGAAATATGCACTCCTCTTGGGTACTGTTCGTGGGTATTCTCAGCGTGTTATCGTCGATCGTACATGAACTTGTACTGTAGAATATGAGATCACTTTTTCGGGTTTTCGCTTGGGACGGGGTTCGTACATATACTTACGCAATTTGGCGTGATCGAGTCACCTGATGTATGAGCCCGTTCCTATTTAGACAAGCAGTCAATGAAGTCATTCATATATAGTAGTGATACGATGTTGTTGAAGGCACAAGGAATGATGATGGACCTGATCCATCAGGCAGTGGCTATGCTCTCTTATACTACAGGTAATTACGGGGGTCTGTGTCACTCGGTTGGTGTGGAGAATTACGCACTACATCAGAGATTGTTGCTATGCTATCATCACCTGTTCACTGTCCATGTTGTAAGATTTTCGTACGTTAGATCAGGTGGTTGGAATTGCTATGATATTATGTCATGTTCAGGTGGCATGCAATGGGGTCTACAGCAAGCATATTGTCGATTGTTACAAGCCCTTATAGTCCGTGGAGAATTAGAGTAGGGACGACTTGGCGCACTGAGTATAGTCATTTTGGTGATGTTGTTGTAGAGCACTCTCGCAACTACCACCTCCACCAGCTGGGTATACAACTCACATTGAAGCTCGTCGGGACCTGTTGAAGTACCGAGATGCTAAGGCGGCAGGAGGTGATGATGATCATGTGCATCATACCAACTTTCACTCGAATCGTCTCTCATATCAGTTGAACTAACCCCGGGCACCCCTGGGTATTTGAACGATGACCAAGTAGCGGTATTGGAGTGGTTCGAGACGAGAATGAATGGCTGTAGACGGTGGCAAGATACTATGTAATAGCGATGTCCTATGGCCCTTCACACTTCCAAGCTGGGGACTCCTTTAAAGGGCTCCGTAGAGCTACGGGAAGATATGGTCAATTACATGTGGTGGTGACAACAGAAAAATTTTGGGAATTATATTTGGTTTCTGCGGAATTCTACCCGGAGTCGTATGTAAACTCGAAAACTGTGGAGCTGAGTGGAGGAAAGCGAACATATATTGCAAAACTACCGTTGAGTGAAATTGGGGTTATCATAAGTCGTGTGTGTAGTAGTAATGACATCTCATAGTGTCATTCGAATCAAGCTGGTGCTGAGCGTTTTCATTCCACTACTGGGGAGTGTATGTTTGTTCGTTCGGCTTGGTTGCTGTAGTGTGGGGAAATACGCACATGGTCATCTCTGATGACTAGGAGCAACGGTTGGTGAAAATCTTTGAGCATAACAGATTCCAAAACTGTGTTGTGGTGATGGTAATTCTCCGTCGTTCAGATATACCCTAGCAGTATTCGCTTTACACACTATAGACTCGGGTGGCCGAAGAGCTTACAACCTTTACGAGGTTAGCCCGGATATGATACCTATGCTATATGCAAGGTAGTAGAGTCGTCGTCGTAGTACTTATTGGTTTACGACCGACTCGAGCAGATTATATTTCCTTGTACCGGAGCTTGGGAAGACTGTAGCGGATTGTTTGTTGAGCAAAGAGGAAGAGGAGATGGACATCGCTGAATGGAGAGGCAGCTCGTAGGGCTCAATCTGAAACATAGGAGCTCACGGACGCTATTGCTCAGATATAGTCTAATGCGCGCATCCCTACACAGCAATCGGGAGTGGGTACCTCAAGCCAGAGATATACAACTACTATTCGACCTTACCGATTTCCATAATGGTCTCAAGTAAGAGAATCACATCGTAGTTGCCGTGACGCTAAGACGTTCCCTTCGCAGTGAGTACTTTGGGTTGACGGAGCACGGATGGGTTCGAGTAAAGCGCAGGCTATTGCAGGTGGGATGGTTGGATTGTTATTGCATACCATAACTTGGCCACATCAGATTCAAGTATATTCACTGATCAGCGAGAGGAGTTTGTGGCGTGCCAGGATGAGAAAGAGGAAGACAACATTCTTGCTTTTCGTGAAGTGTTGGTGCAAGTAATCCGGACCTACTTCGTATCTTGTGAACTCAACCTAAAGATACTTTTTCTCAGGTACGTCTCTGAAGTGGTTGTCGATCAGAACCAGCTAGCTGACTTGTGGGAATATCTTCCGGGATACCGCACGCTGTTGAAGGGGGTGAGAATCTTTAGGTTGCCTGAGCATGATTCAAGATAGGTCACCTTCTAACCCTCAGGTATTCCTCTGTATGAAGTACCATAAACGAGTCGATCACTATCCTGATGCTTTGGTTGATTGCGCGGCTAGTGTGTTAAGGAATACTCAGACACTCAGTTGCATAGTGAAGGTGGGAATATCCCGAGAATCGCTACTCCCACTTTTGGTGAAATCTCATCCCAGATAATGTTCCACAGTACGAATGTCTACAATCAAAAGGCAGTAGCGTGCGCTATGAAAATGGTGAGGTTCATTTGATGGCGTATTGGAGCTGTATTGTTGGACTTTAGATTCATTTCCTATTTCTGTCACTACTGGTTCGACACGCATCACTTCCAGGAGATTTCGATATGAACTTCCTCTTGCACGGCATCGATATGCTGCTAGAGTAACAACTGAACCTCTTTTGTATCTTGCCTGCTGCAACCTAAGATTCTCTTAGATGCGATATAGCCAGGAATATTCATAACGTTCTGTGGTTGATCTATCAGCATTGGGGCCTCTTCGCGGGCCCTGTATCGACTATGAGTGGTCGAAGTCTGGTCACTGATCACTTACTGGGGAAGCACTTCGACAGTCTAATGGTAGGCCTGGCCGATGTGAATTTCATGGCGCGTGACGGTTTTCTGTCAGCTACATTGGTCCTGGTTCGTCCGTCAGCGGTTTATCCTACTCTTGCTCTTCCGTATCGGCCCTCTTGTTGGTAAGCAGTCGGATTCAGCAGCTACCTCCCCCTCCTTACACTCGAGTGTCTCTAGATCCACCCCCACTGGACTCGGCTCCATCAGCTGAGCATAATCCTTCCACTTCGACAACCCGAGCGAACGATCACGTCGGATATTACAAATGGCGATGTGTCGTCACTGAGCTGGTCGCGAGGCAGTTGGAGAGGTATTGTTTTTCCTATTGTGGTGGATAATCGGCAACGTATTGTAGGTACGGCCTCAATGATGTCATTGCGGACCTCTCATTGCGTGGTGGTAACTCCTCGTCAAACGATGGGAAGCCATCGTCATCGTCGGGCGGAATATTCAAGATGCCAGTCCCAGCCCGGGCCGGTCAGGTTGCGAGACGAGAGTACCACTTCAGAGTGCCACCAGATGTAACGCCATTGCAAGCTAAGGAGGTGAGCATCTAGTGTCGAATCGGCTCCTTCACGCGCCACGAAATTGTGTTAAGGTGCCATTGGTGGAGACTGAGTGGACTAAGCAGATGCAGCATCATGATTTGTGGAGGATGCTGCCGTCTGTATCAGTAAGCAGGTTTCTCAGTGTTGGGGTTGGTGACCATCATCATTGCCAGGAACGGATTCGGTGTCTACCACAGTTCGAGCTCACCGACTTCATTGAGCTGGATCGAGGGGTTGATGATTTCTCTAACCCTGAGATGGATGAACAGTAGGATGCATCCACTTGAGTAAAGCGAGTTGGATCCTCTAATGCAGGTCTGTATGCGACGAAGACTGGTCGCCGACTGCGGCAGATCTTCAATGACAGCGGAGAGATGCTTTTTATTAGCTATTGCTACTACTACAATCCCCTCACAGCAGTATATCTAATATTCTACCAGTATTCTATCGCTTGTGGTTGTGTTGGATGTAAAGCATAAGAATCAATGCATGGAGCCTTCCTGATTATTCCATACACGTCTCTGTTTTCTCCTCGAGAACTTTGTCAAGAGTGGTAGCAGAGGAAAACGCGGCCTCCAGCAAGTAGAGGAAGACGACTCCTCCACAGTAGCGAATCAAGGGCAAGGCGTTGAGAACAGGTCAGGAGGGAGCAAGTCACTTGCTTTCGTTACTCTCAGTCACCCGAGTTCGAACCTTATCATGTGCATTTTTATACCTCCTAGGTCTCGACTTGATAATTCTCTTCTACCTTAGAAACAACGGTTTCATCAGAGCCTTCCGCAGGATTTCTGTCGGCATTCTGAATTCGTGGGTGTTCACAGTGCTTGTGTTGAATGCAGTGTGAGAATAAATGACTGGTTTCCTCAGCTGAACTCAGGAGTTTCCTCACTAATTATGGGGGTGTATATACGAATTCGGGTGGAAGTGTACAGAAAACCATAAGATCACCCCTCGATTCTCGTCAGAATTTTCACAAATGTTTTCCCACACTGATTGAACGAGTGACAGTCGAGGACCTCCGAAATCACAAATCGTTGGTGAAGGGAAGTCCCTGTCTGCCTCACACGGGCTTCACCCTGAAGCGCTCCAACCAGCGACGCAACGCTGATGAGAGCCGTACTTCAGCTATGGCCTAGTGAATGATTCGCTTCACGCGGCGATTTCGCTTCTTCCGCGTCGACTTTGCTGTTGAATAACATCAAGGTAAGCTGACCAAGGCCACACCCGTTGTCAATCGTTTGCCAGGATAACATACGTTCTCAGAATGCAGAGATCTCCGTCTGCTTTAACTCCAGTAAACTCTAACTAGCAAACTTGCGTTAGCTTCCGATATAGTAGTCGATCCACATCCTTGGGCTGGGGACCGATCCTCCAAGTCAGCGGCTCCTCACCAGACCTTGTCAACGGAGCGGCAGAGCCCGTATGAACCCTTACATATTAATCGAGTTTCAACTGTTCATTTTTCATTTGAATTGTTTCTTACGCCGTTACCAAACTCGTTCTGATTTAAGAAAAACAATTCCTACGAACTCACACTCACTGAGTGCAACTTATCCTCAAAGAATATTTCCCTATCCAGTGAATAGAAAAGTTTTCACTCCAAACTCCAAAAATTTAGCCGACTGATGTTAACACAACGAGGATTAATTACTAAATAACCGCTTGATGCGATTCTCGCTGTGCGAGAAAAACTGTCCAACGTCCACCCATTTAATCAAAAGATAAACTGAGTGAACAAGGATCTGTTCAAACCAACAGTTGTTGCTGTACAATAACGGTTCTTGCTCATAACTTATTGGAGATCAGCGGGTAACTCGGCAGGAACTAATGATCAAAAAGAAATCAACGGAGCATTGGATCTCGGAAATTCTACCTGGTGGGCATCTACCATACCATGCTAGTCTACCAATGATCGAGTAACGGGGATACGCACAGTGGGCGAACCTTGCATTGGAAAACATAGAATTAATACTTCTGAAAATCACACTTACACTTGAGCTTTCTTATTGGCTGCTCTAGGGACGGTCCAGTAGGTGAGTTTCCAAGGCATCCTCTCATCGAAGAAAGCCTTCTCCTCATCATTCATATTGTAGCTGATGGGAGCCGACTATAGGCAAAACAACACTAGTAGAGGTACTCCACTTACATCATGAAAACAAAACTCTCGGTTTTGTCCATGTAATCCTGGATCATGGCGTGGACAGCAGTGGACAACTCACGGACATCCTTCGTCGAAGCTGAAGAATGAAACTTCAATACCAACCATGGAGACCAACCATGCGTACAATGCTCCCTGAAAGCTTCTGGAGTGAGGATCCTCTCTTCCCTCGCCAGATGGCCGTTCACTGGATCACACATCATGTCAGCGATAGTACCACCTAAGCGAAAGTTTTCGAAGAACTCGACCAACTGCTTTGTATTCTTACAGATTTTCTGCGCCTCGGCGAGCTTGTCCAGTTTCAAGTCTTCTGCCATTTCGTCCAATAACTTCGACACCTCCTCATGATCATGTTCTTCTTCCTTCAATGCGCTCGGCTCCTTCAGATGCTTCCTATAGAATGGAAAGACTTGCTTGTCCTCTTGAAGATGATGGACCAATAAGAATTTAGCCGTCATGTCGATAAACCTAAACACGAGTACGTCATAACTCCCTCCCATCCTCATAACTCCAACAACGTACTGCTTGAAGCTCTCCCTCTCTTCAGGAGCTACCTTCTTATTCGCAGCAATGGTGAAGGACCTGGTTGATGATACTCCAATAACAACAGGTAACCGAATAAACTTACCTCTTGATGACGTGATGAACTCCATTCTGTGCGAATATGAATCCTTCGAACAAGTCCTTCGCGGCGACTTTCTTAGGAGCCCACAAGTAGTTTCCCATGTTAAATCGGATTTGAAGCGAATTTAAGCTGAATCCATCGATTTGTCGCATCTACTCGAAGAAATTTACAGCTAAACTCCGCCGAAGTGTAATGATACTGTCCCGCTGCGCAGCCTAATGCTAATCCGAGTCTGAACGCGACACAGTTGTCCCTCCATAGAAATCCTGTGTCACAAACTTCAAGAGTTGTGACACCTGCGTAAAGTTCTGGTGTTGTCGACCTAGCTTAAACGAGTACCCTACCACTAATAAACACGAGACCTTTTAACGGGAGGAACATCGTTATTATAGCCGTCTATTGCGCTTGACAGTTTCACGTCGACTCTCCACACATTGAAGTAATCCATCACGCGCTTCTACTAGGGTGATGAAATCTTCTGGACTGCTGCTGTCGGCGGATGAGCTGATCCCAGGGGACATCCCTCGCTTGTCTGGATGCACCAGTAAGCTACGCTTCCGGAATGCAGACATGATCGTGCCCCGAGACAAAGAGTGCGGATCTGAACGAGAAAGCCTCCCAAATCGAAGCGACAATTTGCCGGACTTTCATCAGAGCAGCCGAGAGTTTCCATCCAGACAGATATTTGCGTCGATGACGATCGACGGTTCGCCTTCTTTCGTCTACCAGACGAATCGGCTGGAGGACATACAATGTCCAGTCGAGAACCGTCCTCTGATACACGCGCCTAATCGAGCACTTCGAGTATGCATGGAAGGTTGCTGACCTCACCTTCACTTGTTGTGCACCTCTTACTGAGGATCCGCGGCGTGGTGTGGAGTATTCACCAGCAGGAAGAGGCCACGATGAGAAACTGTACAAGGATGTTGATTGACCAGCGGAGATTCGCCTCTTACCTGAATGGCCTCAACAACTTCGATCCACCAAATGATATCTCAAATCGTGCAGAGCACTTGTCGAAGGTGAGGGAAGACTCGTCAGCTGCCATTAATGTACCAAGGTTAAAGTGATAGTTGGTTGGCTTGTTAGATATGTCAGTTTGTTCAACGGCCTGACGAACTGTTGTTGCAGATGTAGAATTTCAGGATCCCTTTACCAGTGGAGAAGACCGGATATGTACAGCTACGACTATTGCCGCTCCACGTATGTCAGTGAATCTACAGTGGCTGAGCTTCGCGCATGCTGGGATATCTGCTGTCGAGCAGAGGTCTCCTTCGGTGGGAAACGCTTCCAACTGAACCAGACACTCCATGCCAATAAAGGTATTGACTTCAACGCCCAAGGGGTTTTGAAGCTTTTCTCAGAAGATAAATACTTATACGAATGCAGGCAGCGACAAGGTGTTCCACGCGTGAAACCTGCACAAACTTAACGCTGCGCGGGGCGTTGGTTCGAAAACGCGAAAGTACCATCATATGATGAATGGGTGAGATCTCATTTTCACCCTTATCTGTTTGTCACATTTGTGAGCATAGGTAGGAATGGGTGAGCACCTCGTCGGAGAATATACACAAACGTGAATGTATAATTCGTTATTCATCACTAACTATATAACGAGGTGTAGATCAAGTGATGTTGAGGGAATATTAAACTCATCGAGAAACTAATGTTGCCAGTTATCCAGATGCGAGTGCTTTTCACAGAGCATCTGAGCGGAGTTCACGTCTTCCATGACTGTCTCCAATGCGGAGAATATCCAGGTGCAAATCGATAGGACGATGCACCCACCTCCAATGATACAGCTACATGCATATCAGAGAAGTCACAGTCCTTAACCTCCACCCGGGGGGAAGTAGCTACGGACTCAGCTGTTGACGACCAGCACAGGTGGACAGCAGGTCGGAGACCCGACTTCCACTTGCAGCCCTCGACAACGAGTCTAGCCCCGTCACCAACGGACACCTGAAACAACTGGTCTCCAAACCAGTTACCTAGGAAGATGCCTTACTCTGCAGTCTCCCATCACGCAATTCCGAAGTACCAATTTCTGACCACTAGAAACTGAGATGGCTCCTCGTTGTAAGCTGAGGTTGGAGAGCTCCACCGAGGAATTCACGACTCCTTCAGGCCAGGATAGCAGACTACTTGTCTGTGAAGTGCCTGGGGGAGAAAAAGTCTCTAATTAACACATGACGATTTGTGGCCATCACCTCTAAGCCCAAGGAATTCTGTCGAATCAACTCTGATGACCTCATCATCAGTTGCGGATAATGTTAATGGCACTAACACCACGGAGTATCTCTAGAGGGTGGACGGCACTATGTCATACTCACCCTCTCCCCACTCCGGTATGCTCCTAGATGAGGACGACGATGATGCTGATGAGCAACCGCTGTCACTACTCTCACTAGACACAGACCGGACAGAACGGGGACTATCCTCTCCGTTGCCCAACGGTGGACTCGTAGCCGACATACCCTCGCCAACAGTTACCTCAGAATGGCAAAATTGATCGATTTCAACACAACCAGCGATAATCAGTATTTAAACGCTTGATGCGAATCTCGCAGTGCGAGAAGAAATCTCTCAACCTTCCACTGCTGTTGTATCAAATCAGCTTCACACGACGAACAAGAGCATGGTGCTGTACACACCAATCACAGGGTGGTGGTGATGATGATCATCATCATACACCATTATAACTACTTATCGGAGGTTAGCAGGAAGCTCGGCAGGAACTGACAATCGAAAATGAGACAATCAACAAACTACAACTGCGTTTTCCGTTACCTGGTGGGCATTTGCCGTACCACGCCAACTTGCCGGGGCTTGAATAACGAGGATATGCACAGTGACCGAACCTAACAACAGACAATATGAGATAAGTACAAACCAATACAACACTTACACGTCAACCTTCTTATTGGCTGCTCTAGGGAAGATCCAATAGGTGAGGATCCAAGGCATCCTCTCATCGAAGAAAGCCTTCTCCT